CATAACTTGTTGGCCAAATCTTTCTAACTTTTACAGTTTTTTTAAGTACCTACCTGAAATCCTAATTTCTTAGCTCAGATTTACATAAATAAATTTGTTTTTATTTTTTAAGCATTTAACTGCTAGATGTTTAAATCTAAAGAGAAGTGTTAATAGATATTTTTTTTTCTATTAAACTTTTCTTTATTTTAATAAATTTGCTAGCGCAATTTCGTTTAAATACCAACAATGACTCAAATGTACAGTGTATTCTACAAGAACGTAACCAGCATATTTTGTATGCCGCGAAGATGTCATGTGATTATTGACTAGCGACCGCGTAAACTTTATGGCGCGCTTACACTTGGTCGCTAGCCCGAACACGAATGCCAATGGAATTCGGGTAAACGACTAAGTCTAAATGAACGGAGTCGAGTATGCCCGTATTCGGCGTTCGCGTATTTTCGTTTTGGTTATCCGACACCGTCTTCCAGCCCGTATTCCAGTGTAAATATTGCGTCGGGTGCCCGAATTCGAGTAATGTCTTTCGTTCACCCGAATACGGACTAACGACCAAGTGTAATTGAGCCAATAGTCTTTTGAGGATACTGCTTCTTATTTTCGTTCTATAAGTATTATCTACTAGAAAAAAATAAATTGTTATACTTTTACTATATTTTTTTGTAAATACCGACAGTAAATAAAATGCTTTAAAGTCTAAGATAAGTACCTTTCTGTTACCTTCTTGGGAGATAAGGATGTTAATGTACTGAAACAAGAACGAATGAAACGTATAATTTATGTCCCGGGGCTGTCCGTAATGACCTCTATCAGGCTCGGAAAACGATAGTAGACAGAATAATGTGGGAACATGCTAAATCAAGATTTGGCAGCCCGGACGATTGATCTGTGGCGCACCGCCATATAAACTTTATTGACGTGTTACGCCCGTGAAAATAAAGAAATGTTGGGAAAGGAAATGAAAAAATTAAAGGAATTATTGAATTAAGAAAATAAATAACAATAAAAAAATTGAAACTTGAGGTCGCTTGCTGACCGAATACTGAATTTAAGATTTGAATATATCATTGTTTGTGTGTAACAAGTGTCTAGTAATGTTTGTAGCAAATGTTATCTATTAATCATTGTATGTTTGTAACAAGTGCTTTGTAGTGTATTTATGTTATAAAATATTTTTATTTTTAGTATTTATGTTCAAGTTTTATAATATCCGCCCAAATAGCGGAAGGTGCAGGCTCGAGTCCTGTCTGCAAACTGGCCCGTGTGGTTTTTTTTCTGATAAAATTATTCCTCGTGTGTGTATTATCTATTAAGAAAAAAATAATCTTAAGTCTATGCCACTGACGCATACTGGCGCTGCGAAAGATCAGTGCTGTGATCTTATGTTGCAGCTTTCACTGAATAGCGACCATTCTGCATATAATGATTTTGTATGCCTATGTATTATATAATCACTACAATCTCACTGTTGTTATTACCAATAAACTTATTTATTTGAATTGAAACAAAAAGGCTCACGATCTAAAAAGTCCTCTTAGATTGCAAATATTGTTTCACAGAATAGTCTCCTGGCTGAAAACTTTATGTCCTTATCAAGGCCCTCAATTAGATATATGTATTGATTTGTAATCATAGAAAAAAAACTCTTATTATCTGTACGAAAAAAAAATTTGATTAATTCAAAAGTGTTGCAATATCCATCCAATTTCAATAAACCTATTTTGAATTTGTATTTGTTCATAACCAGAACAAATTGCCTTACCAGATTTACAAACAAAAAAACTAATTAACTGCGAAGAATGAGTACTATTTAGCATAAAATAAAATAACTTACTAATTTACCTTATTAAAGATTGAATTTAGGAAAAAATACACTAATAATATACTAATTCTAATGTCGGTAATTCTTCTTTTGTTTCAATTAATAGAGAAGTTTCTTAGAAAAATGGTTTCAAGGACGACCTTAATTATAAACATGATTATAAAAATGAATCAGACCTTATTCAAATTGTCTTATTAAAGGATCTTTTGAATAGTTAATATATTTTGTCCTATCGTCCACTCAGGACATTTTGAAGCTGATATAAGAAAAACTGGTACAAAGAACTCATCAGAATATAACAAAAGAAGCGAAATTACGACCACTATCAATACTAATTTCATAACGTGTTATTATTTTGTATATTAATTATGTGTTATTACTCATACAAATTACTTCCTTCCTAAGGGCCGGAATGAACTTTAAAAATAGAACAACTTTCAAGTGTGAAGAGTTTTTTGTAAAAAAAAATGCTGCGGCCATGTGAGTTTCTAAACAGCCAGTGTGAACTTAGCACAAACTTCTTTGAGCGGAATAAGCCGCAAGAATTACGCTGTTCCATATTTAAATTTAAAAAGTCGACATAAATTGGCGGGACACTAAACTGTTATATATCTGTGACGGAATAAAAAAAACTTTTAAGTTTTAAGCGATTCAGAAATGTTGACACCGGATTCAATTAAAGACGAGGTAAATTGTGTTATAGAGAATCTTTTGCCAGAAATGTCAAAAGAGAGATATATGAATACATACAATGATTTAATAAAGTGGCGAGCAGAGAAGAATATAAAATCGTTTTCCGAAGGTGTATTTCTTACATATTTTAATGGACTGTCTAGCAAACTACAGCCTTCTACGCTATGGAGCCGATATTCAATGCTCAAGAGTACACTTAGTGTAAAACATAATGTACATCTGAAAACATTTCATAATTTAACATCATTTTTGAAAAGACAGTCTCAGGGGTTCAAGAGCAGGAAATCTAAGGGTTTCACCTATAATGAAGTGGATTTTTTTAAATGATGCTCCTGACGAGATATATTTGGCAATGAAGGTAAGTTTACCTAAGTATTTATAATTTTTTCTAAAACTGAACGTACCCAAATACTAAAAAATTACATTTTTCACAGGTGGTATTGTCGGTATAAGCGGCGCATGCAGAAGCAGGGAACTCACCAATTGACAATTAAGGACATTAAAAGTGAAGGCCAATTATTACTATTATAACTGACTAAAACAAAAACAAATATTGAGCGCTCTTTTGTAGTACAAGAAGAGTTTACACAAATAGTAAAGAAATATCAACAAATGAGACCTAGTGACGTAAAAATGGACCGTTTTTTTCTCAACTACCGGAAGGGAAAATGCTATAAACAAGTGATCGGGAAAAACAAAATCTCAGGTATGCCCAAGCAGATTGCAAGATATTTGAATTTACCAAATTTTGAGCAGTATACCGGACATTGCTATAGGCGAACGTCAGCAACACTTTTAGCCGATTCTGGGGCAAACATTACAACCTTAAAAAGACTTGCAGGCTGGAAATCCAGCACAGTCGCCGAAGGCATTGAGGATTCAGTCCATAATAAAACAAAAATTTCAAACCAATTAGTTAACTGAAACTATTAAAATACGCCCCAATTCGCCTCAGCCGACAACCTCCAGGGAGTATCCTCCATGGAATCCATCGTTTGATGAAATAACTTGAGTGATGAGTCTCCTACTTTTACAGATATCCAAAACAGCCAAATTTGTAATAGTATATCAAACAGCATAAACATTCCAAACAATAATGTAACTTTTAATTTCGCTAATTGTCCTAATATGACAATTAATTTTAAATAGCTACTTCTAATTTTATGGTATATATATATATATGTACCTATTTATGAATAAATATTTTTGATAAACAACTAGTTTTATTTTCCTCATATTCGAAATGAAAAGTAGAGTGTTTAACTCGGGTTAAAGAATCAATCCCTGCTCGGACTATAGCCTATATACATCGGGAATTGATTCTTTCCACTCTCGGTTAACAATCTACTATTTTAAAAGTTAATTAATTGATTTTCCGGATACAGAATATAGAAATTCAATAAAATTTCGTATGCGAATAAACATTGTACCTAGTTTAATTGATTTTTAACATGAAAACACACGATTGATATTATTCAGAAAGCTCTGTTCTACAAAGTAATACGGAACCGTTTTATACAACATGATGTATTTCTAAAGGAATTTGTCATACCCACAGACCTCGTTTTGCCTAATAGAAAAATTGTTTCATGGTCGTGTTATTTGAATATGTTATGAACAGTGATTGAATTTAATAACGTACCTAATCCTCAAATCTTTTAGTCATTTACTACAGGTAAGTCGACGTAAAAAAAATTTTGTTAGCAAAATATAAAACATAAATATAACGGGCGATCGAATGTCTTTTTAATTGTAAAATCAATTTCTATGATAAACACACAAATCCCTGAGCAAAGGAAAATTCTATAAAGGCAAAACCTGCTTGCCTAAAAAACTTGCCTTAAATATACATAAAATAAATAAATATTATTTTTTCCAACACTCACAACAATATTAGCCTAGCCCCAAAGTAAGCACTGTAGGCTTGTGTTATGGGATACTAGGGTAAGGGATAGAATACATATACTCATACTATATAAGTATATTTATATGGAAATACATATTAAACATCCATGACTGGAGTACAAATGCTCGTATTCATCACCTCTCCAGTAGGCGCCATCTTGAAACCTACATTACATGCCACTCGGCCACGAAGGTCGTCGGAGGAAATACAGACAGATATAATATATGTTTGTATGTTTCATAGTTTTGACAAACTGTTCCTCTTTTAATTTTTAAGTACTGATGATTCCTTATATCTCTAGTAATATGATTCATTTGAATAAAATTGTTATTAAAACCATATGACTTTCTTGTGTATGACTCTATTGAATTACCCTGTGTTCCTCTTGTAAGTCAGAAAGACCGGATATGGTTCCAGATGGGATCAGAGCCTACTGTGACCAATACTACAAGGGTGAGATGTTGTGCTTGCGCTTTGAGTTAAGGTGTTAAATCGCATGCAGTTCCTAACCATTATTAAGATAAACTTTTAGCAATTTTAGAGTCAAAGTTTTTCCAGATTTTTTAAATATTTTCTCACCTGATATGTAGCCCCATCCTGACGTAGAGGCAGAGAATGAGGATGCCCGGGACAAAGAAGAAGAATATGCTGCTCAGTTCCAGTAGGGGAGACGGGGCCATCAGTGCGCAGAACGCTGACTGCTGTGACATGTTGCCGGAATCTGAAACAATAATGGAAGATAAAGCTTCATATCTCTAGCACGGAGGCTAAGCATCGGGGTGGAACAGGTCTAAAGTTGCGACTTATAGATAGGTATTTCATGAAATTTCAAATGAACCTGATTAAGAATGAAATATAAAATTTTACAGATTTAGAATTAGTATTTATTTATTTGCATTAGATGATGATTTAAGGATGCGTAAAATGGTTACTTAGATATAGAGCGGAATGAAAACTTTTGGAACCTTACAGTTTCTCTAACTGGCTAATATTTATGGTTCAGGCCAATTATTAGTTTCCGCAGATAATTAAAGTCCGCAAATAACAAAATCTGCAGCCATGATGCTTTAATGCGTTTTCTTTAGTTATAAGATAATTATAAGCACGCACTATCCGAAATGAAATGCTCTGCCCGCATGCCAACCTGGCATGCTTTAATAGAGGCGTGAAGAAGCAACATGCAAGCCGCCAGGATGAGGATGGCTGGTGTGGCAGGTAGAACTGCTGATCAGTTATCTTCGTGTTTGGACTTCACCGTCACTTAACATTAGGTGGGGTGGAGTCAGTCGGATCTATCTATAAAAAAAAGGAATTAAAAAACGAAAAGATACACAATAGATTAATAGCTATACATATTTTTAAGCATTTAACTGCTAGATGTTTAAATCTAAAGAAAAGTTTACTAGAAAAAAATCCACGCGGACCAGGCAGCGGACGGGACTCGAACCCGCATCCTTCGCAATCCGGGCGAATGCACTGACCATTATGCTACCACGGCCCTATTAGCCGCGTCGAAATTTTCCTAGCCTTAAGCTGCAAGGCAGCGCCATCTCTTCGCATTGTAGGTAACCCACAATGTCAAATGAATACTTTTTCAAGTATTAAACATTTGAAAGAACAAATAGCAATTATAGTTATGATTTTACTAGCAAACCCGGCGAACTCCGTTTCGCCACCAGATGGCTTCGTTTTATGTAACATTTCGTTTGGTGATTAAAAGAAGATTTTTTTTAATTTTTCCTGAATTTTCTTTGCTATAAACCTCACGGAGCCCGAGACCTTTCCAACGAATGCAAAACCGTGGAAATCGGTTCGTGCGTTCTGGAGTTATAGCGTCAGGAAGGAAAACCCGACTTATTTTTATATAGTAGATATAGTTTTAAGCATTTTACTGAAAATTTAATCTAAATTTCGACGCTAATAGGGCCGTGGTAGCATAATGGTCAGTGCATTCTCCCGGATTGCGAAGGATGCGGGTTCGAGTCCCGTCCGCTGCCTGGTCCGCGTGGATTTTTTTCTAGTAAACTTTTCTTTAGATTTAAACATCTAGCAGTTAAATGCTTAAAAATATATAAAATCATAACTATAATTGCTATTTCTTCTTTCAAATGTTTAATACTTGAAAAAATATTCATTTGACATTGTGGGTTACCTACAATGCGAAGAGATGGCGCTGCCTTGCAGCTTAAGGCTAGGAAAATTTCGACGCAGCTAACAGGGCCGTGGTAGCATAATGGTCAGTGCATTCGCCCGGATTGCGAAGGATGCGGGTTCGAGTCCCGTCCGCTGCCTGGTCCTCGTGGATTTTTTTCTAGTAAACTTTTCTTTAGATTTAAACATCTAGCAGTTAAATGCATAAAAATATATAAAATCATAACTATAATTGCTATTTCTTCTTTCAAATGTTTAATACTTGAAAAAATATTCATTTGACATTGTGGGTTACCTACAATGCGAAGAGATGGCGCTGCCTTGCAGCTTAAGGCTACGAAAATTTCGACGCGGCTAACAGGGCCGTGGTAGCGTAATGGTCAGTGCATTCGCCCGGATCGCGAAGGATGCAGGTTCGAGTCCCGTCCGCTGCCTGGTCCGCGTGGATTTTTTTCTAGTAAACTTTTCTTTAGATTTAAACATCTAGCAGTTAAATGCTTAAAAATATATAAAATCATAACTATAATTGCTATTTCTTCTTTCAAATGTTTAATACTTGAAAAAGTATTCATTTGACATTGTGGCTTACCTACAATGCGAAGAGATGGCACTGCCTTGCAGCTTAAGGCTAGGAAAATTTCGACGCGGCTAATAGGGCCGTGATAGCATAATGGTCAGTGCATTCGCCCGGATTGCGAAGGATGCGGGTTCGAGTCCCGTCCGCTGCCTGGTCCGCGTGGATTTTTTTTAGTAAACTTTTCTTTAGATTTAAACATCTAGCAGTTAAATGCTTAAAAATATGTTTATTAATTATATATGTACAGAAATAAATAATATTTAAATACAAATTTCTTAAACCTACTTATAAATAACATCCTATTTACAAAATAAAAAATAAGTCACCCCCATCGCCGCCGTCAGGGATGGTGCCCAATAGGCTGGCAGCATTGCCACGTTGAATGGCAAGGCTGATCCGTTGGCCAAGATAGCTGCCAGCCTTTTGATCACCAGTAACTTCGGTGAGTCTCTTTGATATTTCCCTAAAAAAGGAACGAGCGCTTGGACCCCATGGGCCCATGGTCTCAACACCAAATATATAAAATCATAACTATAATTGCTATTTCTTCTTTCAAATGTTTAATACTTGAAAAAGTATTCATTTGACATTGTGGGTTACCTACAATGCGAAGAGATGGCGCTGCCTTGCAGCTTAAGGCTAGGAAACTTTCGACGCGGCTATTAGAGCCGTGGTAGCATAATGGTCAGTGCATTCGCCCGGATTGCGAAGGATGCGGGTTCGAGTCCCGTCCGCTGCCTGGTCCGCGTGGATTTTTTTTCTAGTAAACTTTTCTTTAGATTTAAGCTATACACAGTTTAAGAACTCGACTCAAAGTAAAGATTATTGATATTTGTTTCAGTAGCACGGCACTTTGGGAGGTTGGGTTTTTAATTTGTGGGGCACAGGCCTTCCCTATGGATGAAATAGGGAGATTGGGCTATGACCCACCACGCGGGCCCAGTGTACACTGGTGGGTGGTAACTAGGGGTGGGCGTTTCTAGAATAACGATGCCAGGTTTGGATGCGCGCATCCGATGCGACTGGATGCCGTTATTGGATGCCGATGCCATCTACTTTTTGTCAACGTTACTATAGCAACAGTGCCACAAACTTATCTGTGCTGGTGAAGATGTCGCTAGCGGTGAACAAATATGTCATAAAAATGTCACAATGCTATTCATAAATAAATTGTAGTTCCAATTTTTGCCACCGGCACTGAAAAGTTAGTGATACTACGATACTGGCATTCACTTGGCATCGATGCGATGCCGGCATCGGTGCGCGGATCCGATGCGATTTATCTGATACCGATGCGCATCGATTTCACAAATATCTAAAAACGCCCATTTCTAGTGCTAACGATATGCAGCCGGGATCAACAACGCGTGCAATGTTTTTACATACAAACGTTCTCGACTGATTTCTCTTTGATTTTTATCACTAAAGAATAGATTTTCACATATAAAATATAATATTACTCATTCAATGCTCCGATGTTTTCCTTTTTTCGATAACTTGTGTTTCAAAGCAACTAGAAGCCCTCGAAAAAGACCACTAAAAAGTCTATGTGGAGATTTAATAAGCATTTACAAAAAAAACAAAACAGAGAGGTATGGAGGAGAAAGAGGCACCTTAGCACAGGGGCAGGTTTGAACATGTTGATTTCTGAACGTAACTTAATTTATGCCGTAACTACATTTTAATATTGGCAGCACTGGCTGTGACAAACGTCAAATAACAAAGCGCGCGCGTTTTGTTTTCAAAAAGATTTATAAGCTGTCATCGTATTTGTACCGATGAAGTAAAAAATAAAAATAAATGTTGTAAGGGATTTACTATCACGTGAGTAAAGGTTTCCAACTAATTCTTTCACAAAATTGTGCAGTACTTATTAGTTTTCAACCCACCTTGTTGTTTTTGCTTGCCAGTTATTTCACATTATTTTTTTGTAATATTTTATTTTCCAAGTGACCGTGTGGCAGATTTGAAAAACTTCACATGTTTTCTTACAAGTTTGATATTAAGTTTATTTTATGTTTAATTTTGCATCTGAGGCCGTATTATATAATAATATATATTATATATAATAGTAATAACAATAAACTAAAACTCTTGTGCAATATGATTACTTTTGTTAACAAGGAGGAAGTCCAACTCAATGAAAATAATATTTTTATTTTTGTTATTGTAATGCAAGATGTAACTTAGAAGTTTCGTATAAGTTTATTTTATATTTTATTACAATAAATATCATTATAATAAAGACAAATTATTACTCTATCCTCTCTTTTTTCTGGTTTTTAACCCATTGTTCACAACTTTGTTGTTGTTAACAACGAGAGGAGCTCGGTGGCGCAAGTGGTTAGCGCGTTCGGCTGCGATAGTTGAAGTTAAGCAACTTTCGCAGTGGTCGGTCATTGGATGGGTGACCAAAAATTTAATAACATGAGCTCCTCCGTGCTTCGGAAGGCACGTTAAGCCGTTGGTCCCAGCTGCATCTGCAGTCGTTAGCACCCACCAATCCGCACTGGGCCCGCGTGGTGGGTCATGGCCCAATCTCCCTATTCCATCCATAGGGAAGGCCTGTGCCCCAGCAGTGGGGACATTAATAGGCTGATGATGATGATGATGATGATGTTCACAACTGCCCCATGTCGATTTAAATGTTTTTAAAAAATTCAAATTCAATGCAAATTCAATTCAAACCTCCCCCCTGGGGAGGCAGATTTGAACAAATTTGTGTTTAAAAAACACATTATTTCTCTTTAACGTTTTTGACAAATTCAAAGATTTCATTATTTTTATATTAACAAAGGAGTAATATGTCCCGCGGTGTTACCCGCGGTTTATTAGGGATATTTCCCGCGGTAAAACGTAGCCTAAGTTAACACATAGGCTATCCAGGGTGTCAGCTAGATCCATACCATAGATAGTTTAGACGTGAAGAAGTAACAAACATACACATACACTCACTCACAAACTTTCGCCTTTATAATATAACTGTGATTTTC